ACGTGGCGTTTCCACGTGTCAATGACGGGGCATCTTTGGGCTGACGTGGCAGTCTATGTCAATTAAGAAAAAAAAATATATATATTTTGTAGAAAGGGGGGTTTGAACCCTAGTCTCCATGGGAGAAAAATAACTATGCTACCAACTCACCTATCCATGTTAGTTACCATATTCAATAACAATTTATATATATAGGAATTACGTATGAATAAATTATATTAAAATATAAAATTAATTATAATAAATTAATTAAATATAAAATTATAATAAATTAAATTAAATTAAATGAAAATAAAATAAATGAAGATAATTAAAATATAGAATTTTATTAATTCATATTTTGTGTTAGAGTAAACCATATTAATAATATTTAATAAATAAGATTTTCATAATTTATTATTTAATAATCAGTTATTTTGTTTATTATTTTATTTTATTTTATTTGAATTCACCTTTTTTAACTTTATCATCTTATGTTATATTATTTTTATTATATTTTAATAAATATAACTTATTATGAAATAATAAATAAAAATAAATAAAAATCTTAAATAAATATAATAAATTAAAAATATAATTTAAGTAAATAAAATGTTAAATAATCGTAATGAATAATAAAACAAAAAGTGTTATTTTATATAAAATAATAAAATATTAAAAAACTTAAATGAAATAATAATTTATTATATAATAATAAGTTATTATATTTATTATAAATTTATTTTAAATAAATAAATAAAAATATTAAATGAATATAATATTATTAATATGATTCACTCTAACACAAAATATGAATTCGAAAAAATATATTTTAATTATCTTAATATATTATTTTTCATTCAATTTTATATAATTTTATTTAATATAATTAAATTATTTTTTTAGATTTAATTTGATTTCTCCATACGTAATGTAATGTGTATATATATAAAGGGTTATCACATTTAACAACTAAGTTGTACTGGTGTGGTGGTAGCTAAGGCTTCCCTTCAACCCAGGATCGATTCTTAGAGCGTGCAACATTATTTTTTTTTTAATTGACACATGGGTCGCCATGTCAGCCAAAAAATGCCACGTCATTGACACGTGGAAACACCACGTCATCACAAAAATGCCATATCAGCAGAACGGGCCTCCACGTCACAGAACAGGCCCAAAATTGGGCCCTGTGATTCGAATTGCAAAAAATAACTAAAGTGGTGTATTAAATTGCTAAATTGCAAATGTGGTGATTAAATTGCAAAAACATGAAAGGTGGTGCTTTTATATGCAATTTAGCCTAAAAGGAATGAGTTAAAATAGGGGGAAATTAACCAAATCTATTCCTAAAAAAAAGGGTGCTAAAAAGGTGTGTAATAATAATCTGAATTTTGTTTTTTACTATTCAAAATCAAATCAAAAACTTTAGGCGGGATTTGTGAAATAAATTCAAAAAAAAATTCCACAAAAGGTAATTTTCGAAATAATTGAGCGGGAAAAAATTTAACAAAATTGTATTCTTTTAACTATATTTTATAGTAATAGATAAAAAAAATAAAAAACGAAAAGCAAGATAAATAAAATGTGTCAAATAAAAAATCGGATATAAAAAAAAGGTAACAAATATAAGTCTAAACAAAGGGAGTAAGAATAGGCAAATAAGGAAGAATAATCTCAATCCAATTTTCATAAATCTATTACAAAATCGAATAATTCATTTAGGCGGGAAAAACGAAAAAATTGAAAAAAATCACATACATTTTCGAAATGTTTTGGAGGGAAAAACACTTACCAAAATTTATTTTTTCTTAACTCTAATTTATAATAGTAGATTAATTCATA